CAGAGAGTTAGGAGTGGGTAGACAGAGTGAAAAATCTGCTTTAGGTGCAGTAGACGTCTATGCCAGCACAAGTTCATACCCAAATCCTAAAGAATGTTGAGCACTGGGCAGTCCAAGAGAGACAGTAGATCTTTTGTTAAGATTGTTAGAAGCATTTTGAAAGCCTATTATTTGCTCTGGCTATCATGTGACCTTAAAGAGCTAAACTTCAAGTCACAATGTTCATAAGGTTCATGCCTTGCAAACTGAGTGCTTAAATAACTAAGGTGCCAGAAGGGTCACTGACTGTTCTGAGGACCTGAGACAGCTGTTTTTTTAAGTCTAGTTTAGGCGAATGAATAAGCAGTTTGTGTCCAAAAAGCATATCAAAAAGGAGTTCACAGAATCACAGAATTCTCTAGGTTGGAAGAGACCTCAAGATCATCCAGTCTAACCTCTGACCTAACACTAACAAGCTCTCCACCAAACCATATCGCTAAGTTCAACATCTAAACGTCTTTTAAAGACCTCCAGGGATGGTGACTCCACCATTTCCATGGGCAGCCCATACCAATGCCTCACAACCCACTCAGTAAAGAAGTTCTTCCTAATAACCAACATAAAACACCTCTGGCACAACTTTAGCCTGTTCTGCCTCATCCTGTCACCAGGCACGTGGGAGAATAGACCAACCCCCACCTTGCTACAGCCTCCTTTAATGTACTTATAAAGAGTGATAAGGTCGCCCCTGAACCTCCTCTTCTCCGGGCTGAACAAACCCAGCTCCCTCAGCCGCTCCTCATAGGACTTGTTCTCCAGAACCCTCACCAGCTTCATCACCCTTCTCTGGACTCTTTTAAGCACGTCCATGTCCTTCTTGTAGTGAGGGGCCCAAAACTGAACACAGTACTTGAGGTGTGGCCTCACCAGAGCCGAGTACAGGGGGACAATCACCTCCCTAGACCTGCTGGCCACAGTGCTTCTTATGCAAGGCATGATGTCGTTGGCCTTCTTGGCCACCTGAGCACACTGCTGGCTCATATTGAACCAACTATCCACCAATACTCCCAGGTCCTTCTCCGCCAGGCAGCTCTCCAACCACTCATCTCCCAGCCTGTAGCTCTGCTTGGGGTTATTGCGCCCCAGGTGCAGGACCCAGCATTGGCCTTGTTGAACTTCATGCAGTTGACCTCAGCCCATCGGTCCCGCCTATCCAGGTCCTCCTGCAGAGCCTTCCTACCCTCAAGCAGATCAACACACACACCTAACTTGGTGTCATCTGTGCACTTCCTGAGGGTGCACTCGATCCCCTCATCCAGATCATCGATAAAGATATTGAAGAGGACTGGCCCCAGTACTGAGCCCTGGGGAACGCCACTAGTGACCGGCCTCCAACTGGATTTGACTCCATTCACCACGACTCTTTGTGCTCAGCTATCCAGCCAGTTTCTAACCCAACAAAGCATACGCCAGTCCAAGCCATGAGCAGACAGTTTCTTGAGGAGAATGCTGTGGGAAACGGTGTCAAAAGCCTTGCTGAAGGTCAAGGTTGACCACATCCAAAGCCTTTCCCTCATGCCCCAAGCGCGTCACTTTGTCATAGAAGGAGATCAGGTTCGTCAAGCAGGACCTGCCTTTCATAAACCCATGCTGACTGGGCCTGATCACCTGGTTGCCCTGTAAGTGCCGCGTGATGACACTCAAGATAATCCGCTCCATGAGTTTCCCTGGCATTGAGGTCAAACTGACAGGCCTATAGTTTCCTGGGTCTACCCTCTGGCCCTTCTTGTAAATGGGCCTCACGTTTGCTAGCCGCCAGTCGACTGGGACCTGCCCCGATAGCCAGGACTGTTGATAAATGATGGAAAGGGGCTTGGCCAGCTCCTCTGCCAGTTCTCTCAGTATCTTCGGCTGAATCCCATCTGGCCCCATCAACTTGCGTACATCCAAGTGCCGTAGCAGGTCACCAACCATTTTGTCATGGATAGTGAGGGCCACATTCTGCTCCCCATCCCCTTCCACCAGTTCAGAATACTGGGTATCCAGAGAGCAACAGGTTTTGCCGCTAAAGACTGAGGCAAAGAAGGCATTAAGCACCTCCGCCTTTTCCTCATCTTTCGTAACTAAGTTCCCCCCCGCATCCAGTAAAGGCTGGAGATTCTCCTTAGTCCTCCATTTTGCATTATTGTATTTGTAAAAACATTTTTTGTTGTCTTCAATGGCAGTCGCCAGATTGAGCTCCAGATGAGCTTTGGCCTTTCTAGTTTTGTCCCTGCACTGCCTCGCAACATCCTTATAGTCCTCCTGAGTGGCCCACCCTCTTTTTTCTCCTAAGCTCAGGCCACAATTCTCTGTTCAGACAGGCCGGTCTTCTTCCCCGCCGGCTCGTCTTTGGGCACGTGGGGACAGACCACTCCTGCGCCATTAAGATTTCCTTCTTGAAGAGTGCCCAGCCTTCCTGGACTCCTCTGCCCTTCAGAACCGCCTCCCAAGGAACTCTACCAACCAGTGTCCCGAACAGTTCAAAGTCAGCCCTCCGGAAGTCCAATACAGCGGTTTTACTGGTCCCCTTCCTGGCTTCTCCAAGAATGGAGAACTCTACCATTTCATGGTCACTTTACCCAAGACAGTTTCCAACCACCACATTCTCTGTTTGTGAAGAGAAGTTCTAGCGGGGCACCTCCCCTGGTAGGCTCACTAACCAGCTGCGTCAGGAAGCTATCTTCCACGCTCTCCAAAAGCCTCCTAGACTGCTTTGTCTGGGCTGTGTTGTGCTTCCAGGATATATCTGGGTAGTTGAAGTCCCCCACGAGAACAAGCGATGATGATTTCCCAACTTCTGTCAGCTGCCTGTAGAACTCCTCCTCATTCTCCTCATCCTAGTTTGGCGGCCTATAACAGACCCCCACCAGGATGCTTGCCTTGTTGGCCTTCCTGCTGATCCTAACCCATAGGGACTCAACCTTATCATTCCCAGCCTCAAGTTCCGCGACATCAAAACTTTCTCTGACATAGAGAGCCACTTCCACCACCCCTGTTCATATAGGTGGGGGGGGAACGCTCTGCACTTCCTGCTCACCCTGCCTGCGTGAAACTGCCCTGCTAACTGTCGCGCCACTCCCTTCTGACATGCCACGTCCTGGTCGCTCGCGCTCCCTATGGGCAGCTTTTGAACGGCTGGGGAGGGGACGCTGCTGGCTCCACCTACGCCTTGTTCTCACCTCGTTCACCTCCCTCGCATGGGCTGCAGGGTCCTGGTGGCTCCCTCGAGTGGGCTCGGTGCCGGAAAAATTAGCCCTGCCTGTCTGATCCCCCGCTCCGCTGCAGAATGTGTCTGTCCCGGCCGGAGCCAATCGCCTCGGGAAGTGGTGAGGCGATCGGCTCGCCACTTGCTGAGATTCCAAGTTAATGGAATAAAATCTGAAAGTGTGTAGATCTAACCACTTATAATTCAAAGAGAGCAGTTAGTCAGTTCTTCCGTGCTGGGAAGTTCTAAGGAGAACCTCATAAGAGAGTATGGAGGTGTTCAGATGAGTGATTCTGACTAGTTATAGTATTTATGCTTTTTTTTTGTTTTGTTTTGTTTTTTGTTTTGCATCTTGTAAAATATCAAACACTTCATTCAGTTTTGTTTATCAATTCAGTTGCTTGGATATAGCTTCACCTGCCTCTCAAAATATTTGGAAAAAAAAGTTTTAAACTAAAAGGTTCCTCATCATACAGACTTCAGGGTGATGACTAGGTTAGGTTTTCTTTTATTTTTTGCTCATGTATTCTCAAAAGAAAAATAAGAAAACCACCTAACCACTGAACCACTGAAATATTTTACTGATCTGGTGCTTTGGTCCATATTTTGATGATCTAATGCTGTTTTACTGGTTCTTATGTTCCAGAGACATAGCACTGGAGAACATTTTCAGTAAAATTTAACCTCCTTGGACTATTTTGAGTCCTTGTTTAAATTAAGACCTGATTCTTTTTTTTTTTTTTTTTTTTTTTTTTAGTTCAGGAAGCAGAAGCTAGCCAGGGAACTGGAAATGAACCATCAGATAAATTTTGATTTGGAAGCAGATGGGAGTGGAGCCTTAATAGAATTAACTCCAGTTGCTTGTTTAGGAGGGCTAGAGCATCTGGACCAGTGTCTCACAGGACAGGAGACAGGCTTTTCTTAAATCATTACACAACTGTAATGAAAATTCTTTTCTTTCTTTTTCGGTCAAATGTAGCCAGTATGGAGTGAGGGACACCATAGCATGAGATACAGGTTCTGGAGGTTTGTTTGGTAAATCTACATTACAGTCACCTCTAAAACTATATAATCAGTGCTCAGTGTTTTCAATTTTTCATTGCTGACATAAATTTCCCTGGCTTTAAGTTTAATTTTCTGGGTTTTGTTATAGCCTCTCCAAATTAAAAAGAATTATGTAGTATGTAGTATATTTTCCCTCAGAAATTATTTAATCTTTGCAATTAAGCTTCATATGACAAACTTAAGAATTTTTTGTATCTCTTGCTGTTGGGTACTTTTTCAGGTCTTTCTTTGAATTTGTGATTAGTCCTGTATCCAATTTGCATGTGTTTAGTGGTCATATATTTACAGTTCAGTTTAAATAATTTCATTTAATATATGCTTTTTTTAGAACGTACGTGTGTGTGAATGCATGTATGTCATAATATATCCTATCAGCTCTACTTTTATCTGCAAAGCTAACCCTTCTGTTTCTTCTTGTTGTTCCAGTCTGAAATATCTCCACCCCACCTTTCCCTCTCAGCATGGAATACCTCTTTGCTTTATTCTCTGTTCTCAGTAAGACCACTGAAAATCTTGTCATGGGGTCTCAGAACAAAAATGCTAATTACAACGTTGCATTTAATTTTCCATCACCATTTGCAGAAGGTCTTTTATTTGAGAGCCTGCATCTGCATTCCAGACCTCACGGTGTGAGGGTATGAAATACACTATGCTTAAGACGTCATGTAGGTTTCTGACTCTAATGGAATGTTCTTTTTTATCTTTACAGAGTACCAAGCTGCCATTTTGCATTTAAAGAGGGAACACAAAGAGGAAATTGAAACATTAAAGGTATACTTCTGTAATATTTTTTTTCCTTTCTCTGACTGCGATTTACAGATTTAAATAGTGCAACATATATTTACCTTCAAATAATAAAAATTCCTTTCTTTATAAAAGTCATTTTGAGTTGACTGTCAATTCAGTTAAAATTAGTTTAGTTAAAATCCATATATGTGCTCACATAGGATGGCAAAAAGTAGTTTTTCATATTTCCCTTTCATAGTTTTGTTTGTTGTACTCATTTAGCACGGAAGACATTCTTCCGTCTATCTCAGCAAGCTGTACTTTTCCATTTGCTTATCATATTAGAGCACTGACATTTAACTACTCACTCTTTCTCACCAAAACATACTTCTCATTAAGCAGATCACATATAGCAGTCATCAGATTAGTACAATTAGAGTATTTGTATTACAGAATGTTTATTTATGTCTGCACAAAGGCCAGGACATAATAGCATAAAACCTATTAAACTGAGAAGTCTGAGAGTCTGAGTTGTTTGAGTAGACAGGGCGGAACGATGGTAGCAGCTGGTGGCATGGAAAGGACAGGTGAGGAGTCTGTTGTGTGCAGTGAGTGCACTCTTTCCTATTAAGCGTCTTTTGAAATTCAGCACAGGGAAATGCAAGCTGGCACTGAAGTAAATATAGCAATAATGTACAATAAACATTTCAAATAACTGTTACAAAGAACAGTGTAACTCTCCCACACAAGAACAGTACAGAGATGGAAAGGGGGTTTATTCTTTTTTAGAGGTTATTTCAAACAATACTTAGGCTTGGTGAGAAACAAATCTGTGTTTGCACATTTCCAGCAACCCTGGAAATAGTAGTGGCAGAGAAGGCAGGTACTCGTAGCAGTCCAGGAAGACTGAAGCTTGCCATGACCTAATTACTGGAGTGTTTTCTCTTTCTTTCACTTTTCATGAAATTCAGATATTTTAGTTGTAACACAATGTTCTGAATTTCACCTTTCATTAAAATAGCACTGGTGTTGCACATTTTGTTTTCCATAAGAATACATCTGCAAGAACCTGCAGGAGAAAGAGATTCGTTTGTTTGCTGCTCATAACTTTGAATAATAAAAATGTGCTCTTTCAAATCAGGTTATTATTTTTTACCCGGATTATTAGAGTTTTTCTCAGGTATTGTCATGTCTTGTTGTTTAAGTGCAGTTCTTTGTTATCTTGTTTAGTAGCAAGGAAATTTTGAATGGGTCATTTCCAGGCAGGTGGACTTGTGAAGTAAATTTTAACAATAAGTACACCATAAAATCTCACCATCTTATACACATATGTATGTAAATAGAATTTGAATGAGCTAAAATGCAAATATTTGTTGTTCATGAAGTGGAAGAGTGATATAGTGGCAATTTCTGACAGATTGTTTACTTATATTTTATACATTTGTTTGGTGATTATCTTGATGCTTGACACTGTTTTATCTCAGACTATTTAGTTCCAAACCAGAAACAGGTATAGAACTGTTTTATAAGCCTTTTAGGTTATAACAGTGATGTGTAAGATCTATATCACAGTGATCAGAAAAATAATTGATGCAGAAAAATAATAAGTGTACGCATGATGCAATTCAAACAAGGCTTTTTGAATTCAATTTAGGAGTTACTAAAAAGTCACACAAGACCTTACACAAAGTTCTGTTTATAAGGTTAATGATTTCTGAGATATAGTGTAATTTTTCATTTTACATTATTGAATGACAATAGCAACTTCCTATATCAAAGACCAGTTGGAGCAAATATTCTGTTTCCAGTAGTGTCCAGCAGTGGGTGCTGGAAAACAGCATAAAATGCAGACTGTAAGAATGCCTTCTTCCTGTACAGTGGGTTTGTATTTGATTTGTTTTTTATTGGCAAATCTGAGTGCCTTCATTGTCTCTTACTCATTGTTTCTACTACCACTGCCTCCATGCCCCTTCCTTAGCAGTGTGCTTCTTGATTTTTGGACCTCAGCCCAGCCTGGTATAAGGCGTCAGGTTCATAAAAGATGCATGCTGACTAAACTGCTCAGAAATGCTACCCAAGTATGCCATTTCCAGCAGTTAGTATTTTAAGGTTTTCCTGAAACAGAGTCTGCACTCAGGTTAAGGTATATACCAATACAATATATATACCAATGAATAAATTACAATATCACATGCTTTTGTGACTTCTGACCATCTGAACAGTGTTCCAGTTTTTTCTCTGTATGGCCTTGACAATGAATTACTTGTACTACAATGTGACCCTTTGTAGATGCATCCTTTTTGTATATACAATTGTTCAGAGCTCTTTAATTCTCTGGAACATAAAAAATGCAATATGAAAATCTCTATATAGTGACACACTAATAATCTGAAAAACACTTAGGACGGAGGTACTGAATTCCTGTATTTTGGTATGTCCTATGTCAAAGGAAGGTCAACACCTAGTTATTCAGTCTCTGAAGAGAATGTCAACTCTTACGGCAACATGTTATTTTTTATAGTGAATATAATCTGACAGTCAGATGCCGCTTACATGGGTATGTTGCATTGGTAAATCATAAATAGTTCTGCTTTTAAGTTTTAGTAGTTTTCTAAATGGAAGGGGGTATAATCTTCATTTGTGTTGTTTTTGTGTTTGTTTGTTTGTTTGTTTCCCTTTTTTTCCTTTTATTTACAGCCCATCCACTTTGAAAGGTTCTTTCTTCTGTGATGTTCACACATTCTAAAAAACATTTTTTCTCTGCACCTCTGTTATTATCCTTTATTATTTTGTATTTTATTTCATAGGAATTTTTTTCTGGGTTTTGTAATTAATTTAAAAATTATTGCCTTTCCCTGAAGTTGCTTCAGTCTGTAATACTTAAATATGGCAGGAAAGGGACATGATACTTGTTCATTCTTTATGTTATGAGCATTTGCACTGGTAAAAATAGAGCATATTAAAAACATCAGACATTGTCTGGGTCTTTCCAGTGTCTTTTCATTATGTGAAGAAAGGCAAAAATGCCTTGTTTTAAGATTAAAAAAAATATTAATTGCTACATACTACTGTATGTGTAGAACTTCACATTATAAAATTTAATATGGACCACATAGAGAAGTCATATTGTGCCATGATTTAGTGTAATACCTTGTTGCATTTTATACTTTAAAGATGTAACAGACGAATATGGTGGTAGATATCCTGACTATTGGAAGTGTTTGAGTTGAATATGATTTTGTATTATGCACCGAAGAAACCTACAGACAGAAATTTCTCTGAACCAGCTCTTTTGCAATCTGATCCAAATCCTGTATTGTGTATTTATGAAGAAAGTTGTTCATCATACTTTCCGTATTAAAGATTAGGAGTGAGACTCTTATTCTTTCTTACTCCTAAAAAGCTTAGAAAAACCTTAAGGAGTGCTTGAAGGTATGTGTGTGGCAAGATTCTCAAGAAATTATTAAACCGCCCTCTGAAAGTAAAAGAAACAACGAAATCCTAGCTGTGTATGATTATAGGGCCATGGCAAAGCATTGTAGAGGTGGTAGATAAGCTCAAAGAGGCAAGTGTTTTTTAAGAGGATCTTCACTGCTGAGTCGATTAAGATTGGGGGGGCACTGTTCAATTGGAATGGTCTGGATTTTGAGCAACTAGGGTTACTGTAGACATTCTTTGCCTAGAACAGTTAGTCCTCAGCTATGTCAGAGAAAAAAAAAAAGTTATGCATAATCCGTCCCATGAAATTTATATGATGGCTTGTTGGTGAGAGCTCTGTTTACTTTTCAGCAATTATGAAGTGTCTTATACTTCTGTCCTGAAGGGTATGTAACCTAATCTTTTTTTTTTTTTTTTTTTTTTCCTTTTGTAAGTTATATTTTTCCTTGAGTATGTGAAAGCAATTCAGAATGGATTCTTATTGTTTAAGATTTGTTATTGCTATGGTCATAACCTGTAAACTTCATTAGAATCAGAGCTTTACCCATACCACCAGTTTGAAAGGGTTGCTGTCAATGCTCGAGGCAGTCGTGAAGGATGTAAAACAGTTGCTAGGAAGGCAGAAAGGCTTACTGTGGTTATTTGATGGTGCTCTCTTTGTTATGACAGTGAAACTTTTCTATTTTTTCGGTGTCACTTGAAATCAATTCTAGTCATGTAATGTGCATATTAATTAAATCGAGATTACAAAATATTTATTACACCAATTGCATTACTGACAAATCTGTGCCATAATAGTGCATAACATCTCTGAACAAGTTTGTTAATGTACGTAATTCAGCTGAAACATCCACAGAGAGAAAGCGATCGACTGAGGGCAGACGCGTTCTGCAGCGGAACAGGAGATCGGACGGGCAGGGCTAATTTTTCGGGCATCGAGCCCTCTTGAGGGAGCCGCCAGGACCCGGCAGCCCTCCCGAGGGATGCGAACGAGGCGTAGGCGGAGCCAGCAGCGCCCCCTCCCCGGCCGTTCAAAAGCTGCCCCTAGGGAGCGCGGCGACCAGGACGGGCAAACAGGGCGTGGCGCGTCAGAAGGGAGTGGCGCGGCAGTTGGCGCAGGCAGGGCGAGCAGAAAGGGCAGAGCGCTCCCCCCGCCCATACGAACAATTCTTCTAACGGTGGTCTATTGCTAGCTCAGCTGCAATGGTCCCACCAGACACAGTGCGCTCTGTAGGAAGTCCCTGCATGGCCTGAAGGACAGGTACCAGGGTGAGACACCCCAAATGGGGTGAACACCCTGCCCTGTTGCTGTTGGGCAGAGGAGGGACCTAAGAGTTGAATAGGAATGGAAACAGGTCCCTGCTCCACATCACAGGTGATGCCCTCCCCCACCGGCACCACCTTCCCAGGTGCCCTTATGCAACAGGTTTGAGGCGCTGAAGCTTGAGAGACCGGTAGCTGAGGAAGAGGTAGAAAGTCTACCCAGGAGGATGCCTAGGGCGAGGAAGTTGACTCCACGCCTCTGGACTGCCTCCACCAGGACAGAAAGAAGGGTGATTGTTGTGGGCGACTCCTTTCTCAGGGGAACAGAGGGACCTATTTATCGG